CCTGTGTTTCGGCTGCTGTAATCCACTTTATTCATCGAACATCACACTATCACATAACTGTGAGTTTCGTGATTTATGTGTACACCCCAGCACCTTCCATATCCGTCGCTAAACGCATTCTAATAAACCAAGTCTGTATCTAATTAATTGACAAAACAACTAACGAACCTGTCAACGAACATTTGTTCTGTGTATACATGCATACGACGTCATCCATAGAGGAACGAGGAATCTACGCTGCTTGACTTCTCATCCACAGCCTTCTGAATTGTACAGTCTTTTTCAGATACATTACTATAAACATTGTATATATACTGGCTTTCTTGGTGGTGGACTGCAGCTGTCATTAAATGCTACCTGTTTTACATTTACACATTTGTTGTATGTTTAGTACATTCTTCGTAATTTTGCAAAAACCTGTATTTTTAAATATTTTTGAGTTATTTTTGTTTGTAACGTTTTATTGATACAATATATCAGAAATAACTTATAGACAAAGTTGTAGCACGTTAAAATAGCTTTACAAAAATACCAAATTCGATATGCTTTACTCAAAAGATCACGTCAAGAAACTAGAAAATCGTACAAAACAACCTAATTTTGCGCAAAAACGCATATAAATCCGACATCGATGGCTGTGTTCGAGTCATATATAGACAGTTTTACCATTCAATGTTGATGTATGTGTCTAAAGAAGTGTTTTTAACTCGGGTGTCACGTCTGGACCCACTGCAGTTTCCGGTTATGTTATGATGTCTTAAAAATTGCTACATGTTACGATTTCACCAGCTATTTTACTTAAAATAAGACCATTACCCTCTTTTATGCAAATAAAAGCACAACAAATCAATGTAATTAGTCCATAGGAATGTTTCCACTATATAAATACCCCCGGTGCAGCAATCCTTTCGACTAAGCGAATTTCCATTTGCATGGATTGAGATTTATATGCGTTTTTGCGCAAAATTAGGTTGTTTTGTACGATTTTCTAGTTTCTTGACGTGATCTTTTGAGTAAAGCATATCGAATTTGGTATTTTTGTAAAGCTCTTTTAACGTGCTACAACTTTGTTTTTAAGTTATTTCTGATATATTGTATCAATAAAACGTTATCGACAAAAATAACACAAAAATGTTTAAAAATATAGGTTTTTGCAAAATTACGAAAAATGTACTAAACATAAAACAAAAGTGCAAATGTAAGAAAGATAGCATGTAAACTTATCTTTCAAACAAAAAAAAGTTCATTCCGATCCAATACATGGTATGTAAAATATCGTTATTTTTAATATAGCCCTTTCCGCCATTTTAATGACGTCATAACCGGAAACTGCAGTGGGTGCAGACGTGACACCCGAGTTGAAAACCCTTATTTAGACACGTACATCAACGTTGAATGGCGAAACTGTTTTTATAAGACTTGCGAACTGCCCTAGAGGCCGGACTAATAGGCGTTTTTGCGCCAAAATTGGTGTTTTTATGAGATTTATCTAGTTTCTTGACGTAATCTTTTGAGTAAAACATATCGAATTTGGTATTTTTGTAAAGATTTTTAAATGTTCTACAACTTTTTTCATTGGTGGTTTTTGATAAATTGTATCAATAAAACGTTACAAACAAAAACAACTCAAAAATATTTAAAAATACAGGTTTTTGCAAAATTACGAAGAATGTACTAAACATACAACAAATGTGTAAATGTAAAACAGGTAGCATTTAAAATTATCTTTCAAACAAAAAAACATTCATTCCGATCCGACAAATAGTTTGCGAAATATACGATTTAAAAAAATCAATGGCCGCCATTTTGATGACGCCATAGCTCGAAAAAGTACCAGGTGCGAACTTGACACCCGAGTGGAAAACACTTCCTAAGACACCTATATTGAAATGCAAAAGCAAAATTCTCTATACACGACATGCACACAGAATTCTAGTCATGTCCAGGACTAAATCTTTCCCGGAACGTACACCACTTTCAGTGTTCGTTTACGATTTATTCAATCTCTTTGCTTTATCTTTAGGTCTAATCACATATTGTTTGGTATCATTGGAAAGGGTATAGAATCATCTGCAACTTTTGCAATGGGTGGTATTTGATTTTATCAGCGGTTAAGAAGTTATAAGCAAAACAATAAATATAATAATAATAAAAAACACGTTTTTTAATATAGTGAGATAAATATTAAGTTTACAACAAAAGTGTAAATACAAGAAAGATAGGGTGTAAAAATATCTTTCAAACAAAAAATAAATCATCCTGATCCATTAAACGGTTCGCGAAATATACGCATTCAAAAATTGCTGAGCCGCCATCTTGATGACGTCATAGCTCGAAAACGTACCAGGTGCGAACTTGACACCCGAGTGGAAAACACTTCCTAAGACACCTATATTGAAATGCAAAAGTAAAATTCACTATACACGACATGCACACAGAACCCTAGTCAGGTCCTGGACTATTGGTAATCCTTGTAACTTTTATGCTATTGAACATCATAGAACAGAACCAACTTGTTTAATTGAAACAGCTGTTAAGATTCATTAATTCCTTTTAAATATGAAAAATCATAATGTTAACATGGGAACTACAGAGCCACTGGGGCGGAGCCCGAAAGAATTTTTGATTTAAGAATGTGCTTTAATGTTAATCGGGAATGTGAGCTATCATCATGCCAAATTTCGGCCCAATCCGTCCAGTAGTTTATGCGTGATTGAGCAACACACACACAAACTTTCAAATTTATAATATTAGTAAGATATTTATAAAAGAGGAAGTTTGTATGTTTGAACATTATGATCTTGGACACCGTTGGACCGATTGCCACGAAACTTGGTATGTACGTGTAGAATTTCATGGAATAGGTTTATACACCATCAATTTTGTTATCCGTCCAATCGGCTCTGCCCCAGCGGCTCTGGAGTTTCCCCATGTTAACCTTATGAGTACTTATATTTTAATGGAATGAAAGAATATTAACAGCTGTTTCAACTAAACAGTTTCATTCTATGATGCTCAATAGCATTAAAAAGTTAATAGGTTTACCAACAGGGTGCAGCACTATTTTTTTTTTTTTTTTTTTATTTATGGCAACAGCTAATTTGTATCAAACAGGTGCTACATGCAATGGATGGATTTTTTACAGTTATGTTTGTGTAGCCAGTTAATGAGTTAATTCTAATAGTAAATTAATATAAGTCTATCTACATAAAGCAGATCTAGGGTACATAAGAACTGTTCTATTTAGCGTTCTCAAGCTGCTTGCCATTATTTTCAAGGAACCAAAAATTGTCTCTTCCGCATCTTGACCCCGTTGCAAGGCACGGGTATAGCGGCTAGTAGCTTAGTATAAATTAAGGTGATTTGCCAAATTTGATGAAAATATATACATAAACAAGCAAACTACAACAGCTAACTTATTCTCCTTAAGAATAACATGGGATTTTTAAATTTATATATTTTTTTTTATATTTTCTTTGCAACCAATAACCTCACAAAAACGCTTTAATATACTAAACTATTTGATTATTTAAGCTTTTTAAAATGGTTTGGAGAGTCATTAGAAATGTTTATGTTTTGAGGGTCAAAAATGAGAAAATTCAATTTTTACCCCATAAAACCAAATTTTTACCCCATAAAACCCCCTGTAAACACCCGTCCCCATGGTCCGATCATGCTGATTTGCCAACTCATTTAAGAATATCCCATCTTACACCTTCAAGCCAAATTTAATCAAAATCGGACCAAAATTACTCAAGTTATTGCGTTCACGGACACGTTTAAATAAGTTGCGCCCCCTCCCCCCCTTTATTTCGCTAAAACGGGGGAAGCACACAGGGGACGGGCGGGGACTTTTAGGGTGTGATTTTACATACCATACCGGACATCTATGCAAAAAATTAGCTTTATATCTCACATTTCCGGGTAAAAACCTAGATTGACTGGGCTATTATTACTGGTTCAATGATTACATTATTCACAGAAGTGTTAACAAAATAAACAAGAAATTAACAATAATAACATTGTGGGTTCGCCCAAACCTGAGACACCCGCTCAGAGAAATATATTTAATCTTCTTTAGGCTTCATTCAACCAATCTCTTGATCTTGAGGGAGCCTTTGACGTAACCTCCTGTTCTCAGTTGCTTCACCAAGATGAAAAGTTAATGCACCAGGAACATTGTTTAAAGATTTCAGAAATTTTGAGGTGTTTTTTTCAATAAAGGCCGAGATAGACTCCACTCCTAGCTCTTCGTGTATAAGCCTGTTCCTAACAAACCAGGCAGCATTCACCGCTAATCTTTGAATCACTTGAATTTTGAAGAGTTTGTTTTTTTGAAATAGCTAATTCCCAGATAGGAGATGCATATGTCATCAAAGGCCGAATTATTGATTTGTAGAACTATTGTATTGTTTGATTAGAACTGTACAAGCTGGCTTTGAGAGTAGATTTCCTATTGATTAAAGGGAAAAGCTTTGCAAGGCGTGCATAACCTTGGGACGGTTTTTTTATTGACGTGGTACTTCCAATTAAGTTTTTCGTCCAGCCATACTCCAAGATATTTTATGGCCTGGTCATCAGGGTTCCAAGGTAGAAAGTTACCATATATTTGAATTTCATTTGGCAATATATTTTTTTTCAAGGAGAATATTTTGGTCTCACATTTAGTTGAATTTAGGCGAAATTTCCACTTGTAGAACCAATCAATGAGAACATCAACAGAGTATTGCAGAGAATACGTGGCCTCGTGGATGTCGGAATGTTGGCACAGGATCAGTGTCGTCGGCGTAGAGAGCTAATGAGGCGTCTTCGTTTTTTAACGGTCCTATCGTTTTTTATTGACACTCTGTATATAATCAATGAGTAATCTAAAGATCATACGGTTTATCTTAGTCTGTATATAACTACTAGTCGAAACTCCATGGAAAATGTTTATGAAAACGCGTCTGCTAGATGTCTCGTATCGCTCGACTTTCGATGTCTGTTCTGTTGGTCTGTCGTCGGCGCTGCTTGCGTCTGTCTGATCCTGATCGAGTGAACGAGTGATCGGTGTGATTCTCTGTTCTAGCTAAAACCTATTTTAGGTGGTCGTCCGTTGTAGTTTTAAAAGGGAATGTTGAGTGATTGTTAAAGATGCTATAAATATAAATTTCTCGTTTCACTAACTCTGCTCTAACATTTTTATTCGATGGCTACTGGATCGGGAATTAAGATATTACTTTCTAGTTTGCGAATTGAAAATTGTTACTTGCATAGCAATAAACTTCCTAAATTATTTAGGAAAACAGACTATGGGGTGTTTCATACTTCAAATATCCACACATCAACTCTTCTAACAGCACAGCCACGGTTGACCCCACAAGAGGTAGGTAAGAAATTTGACTACTTGACAACTAATAGGCCTACATAGGCCCAATTATTTATAATAATCTTTAAAGGTAAAAATAAAAATAAATTTCTTTTAGGCCTAGGCAGTCCATAGTGTCATGCCTCTAAGCACCTGGTTTGGTGTCAAGTTCTCACCCGGTAGGCCTAAGTAAGACTGGGACGGTGGCGTCGTCCTATAATCCAGCTAGGCTGTTAAGAGGTCACAAATTGTGGATATTTATATAGGCATGCACTGTGGATGCGATACTCCCTGGTGTGGATTAACGTCTGCACTAGTGTACTATGACTATCCGCAGTACTATCCTGATAATTAGACCAATTCGTTAATACCAAGGCAAAAATGTGGTTCGGATTCCACTACAAAATGTAGGTCCCTTAGTTGTCATTAGTTGTATGTGCTAATTAACAGGTGTGTCTAAAAATATGTCGGCCTTAGTCACTAACAAGACTACAAGATCGCGCCACTCATCCTACTCTCATCTCCATTCATACTTCGCTTAAAATATGTACTTTGTATGGTTGCCATTTCAATAAAAAGTATTTAACCTTAGTATAAAAACAGTGCATTGTGCTTGTACCATTTTAAGATAAGAAATGAAAAATATTTTAGGATCCAGTCAAAAGCTCTATAAATTAAGGTATATAAATTGGTGCATAAGGTTATAACTAACACAGGTGTGTATTTTCTTCTAACACCACCACAATATAAACTCATCATCATTTGAATCCACCAAGTAACTAGGAAACGTGTTTCTTCTGTGTGCATATCTGAAAAGAAAAGGTTTCCTTGAAAGAATTTGAAGAAACCAGTTTCCTGTAACGTGTTTCTCCAGTGTACATCCCATCCAGGAGTCTTTGAGGCGTACATGACTCCAACATCGGCCATCAAACTTTTCCATGAGTAAAATGGTTGTGCAACCAGGCCTATTGAGTTGGTTGACCACTGTACCTAATGTGATTGAATTTCTAGGTCACTGACATTCTTAGACTGAATGAATACAGTCACGAGTTTTCTACCACAGGATCTGTTAGGTCATATGACTCAAATCAACTACCGTCCAATGATCCAATTGAAGATACTCGCTCAGAAGCTAGATGTTTATTAACAGAAGGTAAATTAGTTTAGCCTACTATCAAAGCTTAATATCTGGTACCGTACATTATCATAGCCAAATTATGTTTATAACCTTACAGAAGTTCTCTAGGGGTTTGGATTTCCCTTAACTTACAACAAATTTTGATAAATGCCAACAGTGTTCAACTTTTTACTGGTACTGGTAGTTTAGAAGAAAAATTAAATTTTCAACTAAAACTAGGCACATTTAACATTAGCCTAATAATGTTGTTGGCCTCCACTCAATGTGAACGATGATCAATTGCAGGAATGCTGCTAGGTGTGTTTGATGGTCATGGAGGCGCAGCATGTGCACAAGTCATTGCCAAGCGGTTATTCAATTACATCACTGTGTCTCTACTTCCACCGGACCTACTCTACAAATATCTCCAATCCATGGACAACAGCTCTGGCATGCAACAGCTCGAGAGTTTCAATGGCAAGTACGAATTTGTCGAAGAACTCAAAGGAATTTACCATGAGAGTCTTAAAAAGTTTGTTGTGGAACTTTCTAAAACCGATCGTAGTGATTTTCAAATGAAGGAAGCGTTAGAACGGGCATTTCTCAGACTCGACGAGGACATTTCAAAGGAAGCGTTGTCCACTGTGGAGGAGAAAGTAGGTGTAAAGACAATGTCGGTGAGTATGTCGGGGGCAGTGGCGTGTGTGGCACATGTGGACGGTCCGCACCTTCACCTGGCCAATGTGGGGGACTGCCAGGCCGTGCTAGGGGTCCTTAGTGACACGGACACGTGGACAGCCAAGAAACTCAGTGTGGAACACAACACAGACAATCCTGCCGAGGTGCAGCGGATACTCAACGAACATCCGGCCAATGAGAGAGACTCAGTCATCAGGTTGGAACGATTGCTGGGCCAGCTTGCACCGCTGCGCGCTTTTGGTGATTTCAGGTAACGTTCTCTATGTTGATTATATTTGACCCTTAACTATTGATAAAATTATACATTTCATTCCCAAATTTGTAGCCGCTCTTAGAATAAAAATAATGTCTTTTTGAAAGGACTGAAGCCAAATTGGAAGGACGGTTTATTTTTAACTATAGGCCTAGCGCCTAAAGTCACAGTACCGTAACTGTCTCAGTAACAAAAGCTTAGAGAGAAAATGTAATTTCCAGCTTTATTACACTAGCATACTGTGAGTGGATTATTCAACTATTTTTTTTAGTTTTTTTTTAGTAAAAATATTGGCTACAAGTGGTCCACATTCAAGGGATGTCAATTTCATTACCTATCCAAAAGACATTGATAAGTTACTATTTAGGACACTATTAAAAAAAGCACATTTTGATTGGCTGTACGTGGTTTTGTTATGTTCGGCAAAGGCAAACATCCTTGTTTGATGTTCGTTAAACATAACCTAAAATAAGATGAGATGGAAATAAGAACTAGCAAACCAGAACCTGTACATACAGTAATTCATGACTACTGCGAGTCTAGGGATGGCTACAGATACAGGGTGTCCCGTAAGTAAACAGCCAAACTCTGGGAAATGATTCTATGGGTCAAAATAAAGAGAAAACCAAGAATAAATTTTTTTCCAAAACGCTTCGTTAACCAGATAGCTATCCGCTAGCCTATTTTGTATTTTTTACACAAACATTTTTATTTTCAAAATTGTTCAACCGATCTTTATAAAATTTGGTATGTAGGTTATAGTAGAAAAGGCCAATTTTAGAAAAAAATCATCTTGATTCAATAAAAATCTCAAAATGGTGGTCATTTTAATTTTTTAAACTTATTAGGCTACTCAAGAATGGATAATTTTATGAAAAAATTGCACAGAAACTTGTATTTAGCATTCCCTATCAAACGATACCAAGTTCATATAGATCGAATAAGAAATGGCTGAAATATTACGATTTTTAGTTGTGAAATAGGGCAAAGCTTCTGCCTTATTCTACCCCATTTTACAACTAAAAATAGTAATATTACAGGTATTTCTTATTTGATATTTTTGAACTTGGTATCGTTTGATAGGGAATTAAAAATGCTAGTATTCTTGACATATTTTCATAAAATTTACGTTTTTGAGTAATTTAAGTTTAAAATATTTAAATGGCTGCCATTTTGAAATTTTTAATTGAATCAAGATGATTTTTTTTATTATTGGTATTTTCTACCTTAACATACATACCAAGTTTTATAAAGATTGGTTGGAAAATTTCAAAAATAAAAATGTTTATGTAAAAAATACAAAATGGCAGATATCTGGTTAACGAAGCGATTTTTGAAAAAATGTTATTCCTGATTTTCTCTTTACTTTGACCCATAGAACTATTTTCCGGAGTTTGGCGTTTAGGCCTACTTACGGGACACTCTGTATAATGGATATAAGTTTTATATGTGTAGCCTAAGTTAGTGTAGGCCAGTAGGCCTAACTTATATTTTTAGTTGGTAGTGTCAGAGTTGTTTAAGCTGTACACACAATGGGCTATCTTGTACACAGCAAAGTAGTTGGGAAGTTTAGTCTTAAGTAGCCTAAGTTAACAGTTTATTTTAATTCAACCGGATTCTTACATTACAAATACAGTAGACTCCCTCTTTTCCGGACTCCTGGGGACCGAGGCCAGTCCGGATAAATGCTTTTCTGGTTAAACCGACGTCCCCAAAAACTCGTTAAACGGACCGTTTAAATGCATACTGTATAAGCCAATAATGATTATTACATATTTAGACACGAGATCACTGGTCTAAAATCTTTCCCACAAGAACAGTTGTTTCAGTACCGCCCACTTCCTGACGATCTAGTCCGGTTAAACCGATGTGCTGATAAAAATTGTCCGGTTAAAGAGATGTCATTTCCACAGAGTGTATTCCTGTTAAACCGATGTCCGGTTAAAAGGTGGCTAGAAAAGAGGGAGTCTACTGTTTAAAGAAAATGGGAGGCCCTCAACAATTTTTTTGTCATACATTTCAAACACAATAAAGAACGGCAAATGTGTCTTAGAAATACAGTAAAGAGTTTAGTGTAAGGCCCTTCTTTCAAAATACAGTTAACTAGGCCTATTTGTAATTTAGTGGTATTGGCAATCTCCTGATAAAAATAACTTAATAAGGACTGAGTAGGCTACTGTACTGAGTTTAATTAATTTCTCAACGACTAGCACTGTATTATTAGGGTAGTGGTAAGTCTAACAACGGCATTGCATTACAACGGATAGCCTCTAAATCTTTAATGTAAAAACTTTAATTTGAGTCTTTCCTAACATTTTATTTTCCCATTATTGTTATTTCAGGTATTATAGGTACAGTATGTTTGAAATTAAAAACAAGAAAAGCAATTCCATGTCAAAATGAGCTTAGGGTAAAAAATTCAAATATTTAAAATATTAATTTAATATACATAATTTTAAACAACAATTATCTGACAAATATATCTAAGAGATATAGTGTAACTGGTCGCGTTAAAAATAGGTGCGACCGACGGTTAAATTGCATTTACTTTCTAAAAAAAAATTAAAATAAAGGGTCTTCGGTAAGAAAAATTACCACTTTGGAAAAATGGCAGCAAATTTTGAAAATTTAAATACATACCGGTACCTAAAAGCAACATAAAAAAATAAAGGGAGTCCCCATATTTTATTATTTTATACTTTTTTTTAACTATTAATATTTTACTAAAAAACTCACTTTATTCCCCCCCTGTAGCAGCAAACCTAGGTACGGTACCCGTTAAACCTAATGTTATTGAAATAGATTTAATTTTAATTCAAATCTGGCAAATGGAAATTTGCTCAGTCTGCAGGTTTGCTGTGGTGGGGATATTTTTGGTTCTGAGGAATACTAATCGTCAAATAAAAATCTGTTGTAAGTATAACTCATGAACATGAATTTTAATATTAAAGAAATTTATTCAACTTGTTTCAATGTTTATTACTTAAGGTCGGTCATTGAAACGGATGCACCGGTGGTTGTTTTGTAAACATGGTTATCAGCTTTTATAGTAAAAATATTAAGAAAATCTCTGTTAAGCGCCTCTTGATTGCTACTTATCTGAGGCTGCTCTTATCAAGCTCAGTGTACAAAGGCCTTGAGACTCGACACTGCTTTATTACTCTCTATACAACCAGCTAGGCTATTCCTTTGTTAAATTCTGCATTAGATAATAGTTCAGGTCTCTAGATCTAAATTTATGAGTTCAAGTTCATAGTCTAATTCAAAATGATAATAATGTGTTGAATTATAGAGAAGAAAATCTTTAGATTCCAACATTCGTTCAATTAGGGTATTACATAATCATAGTACGGTAATGATAAGTCAAGAAAGTACCTTTGACTATTGATTCAACGATAGTAATATTTATTTAATTCAGTCCAATATTAAACGTTAACCTGATTTATATCAGCTAAAAATCAGAAATGCAGTCTACATGAAATAAACAGTATCAGCAATCTGACACATACAGGGTGACACAAAGGAACCGGACGTTTTTCAAATAAGTAGTACACAGTAGTTAAAAGGAATAAAATGGTTTTAATACTGTACGTAGTGAGGTAAACATTTGCCATTTGTTGCCAAACAGTCATTTTTTGAAAATGATGTCACGCATATGGCGGCCATGTACTTCTCTACAAATGTTCATTCTGGTTTGAAAATCATCTGAAACTCAGTTCATGAGGTCTTGTTCAATGGCATTGATCTCTTCTGTGATTGCCAACTTCAAATCCTCTAGAACATGTTGTTTATTAGCATAAACAAGCTCTTTAAGAAACCCCCAAAGGAAGTAATCACAGCTGGACAAGTCAGGTGACCTTGGCGGCCACGGTATGTCACCAAAGCGAGAAATCAGCTTGTTAGGAAAAATTTTCCTCAAGACTCTCATTTATTGGTCTGCAGTGTGGGCTGTAGCACCCTCCTGTTGAAAATAAACCCTTCTTTGGTTTATTTGACGTCTGCAAAGTTCTTGGCGGAGAAATGTGTTCAACATGTGAACATATTGATGGGAGCTCACTGTCACTGTTACACCATTTTCCTCAAACAAATACGGCCCAATAACACAGGAATTAGATTCCGCACACCAAACTGTAACCTTGGGATAGTGTAGGGGTTTTTCATGAATGTTACGGGGATTCTGACTGGACCAGTAACGGAAGTTTTGTTTGTTTACCGAGCCATCAAGGTGGAAGTGGGCTTCGTCACTCATTAACAATATAATGTTCGGCTCGTTGTTAGGCAATCTTTGCATTCGCGATGCAAAGTTTACTCGTTTATTATAGTCAGTCACTTTAAGTTCCTGCGCTACCTGTATTTCATAAGGATGAAACTTAAGATCTTTTCTAAGAATTCTCCTTACCGATTGTTTATGTTCAGCTCTTGAGCATGTTTAGTGCAGTCCTGCTTGGACTCCTTCAATGCTGCTCTTACTCTGGCGATGTTTTCGGGTGTTCTCAAAGTTCTAACAAGGCCTGGTGGTTTTTTTCTTGTTATATTCCCAGTTGTTCGGATCCCTGAAACCCATCTTAATAGTATATAACGGCTTGGAACTGTTCCATGGCGTTCAATATTAAAATGTCGACAAAATTCCCACTGGGTTTCGACGACAGATTCATCATTTTGGACAAAAGTATCGTATGCGAAACACGATGGTCCACGGTCCACAGCCATTTCAACAAAAATGGCAAGCCTCACTGCAGTCAATATACAGGGTGCGCCAAAATAACCTGACGGTTTTTAATATTAAATAAAACAAGGACAAAATAAAAAATTTATGTATTAAATAATGTTATATTGTTCACAATACTATGCCATTTTCATTTATGAAAAATTATATCACTTAGGTGATGACCTTCTCCGTTGACGCAGGCTTCCCATCTTTTCTGCATATTAGCGGTCACCTTCTGTATCATCGCCTGAGAAATAGAAGCAATCTCTCCCCGTATACACAGCTTAAGACCAGGGATGGTTCGAGGTTTCGAAACAAACACTTTGCTTTTTAAGTAGCCCCACAGCCAACAGTCACACGATGTTAAGTCTGGAGATCGAGCTGACCACGGCACATCACCAAACCGTGAGATAACTTTACCGGGAAAGAGTTCACGCAAAACTGCCATTGAATCATTAGCTGTGTGACAAGTTGCGCCATCCTGTTGAAACCATGTGTTGGTCATGTCTATCCCTAACATTTGCAGTTGTGGAACCAAAAACCCCCTCAACATTTCCACATAGCGTTCCAAGTTTACAGTAACAGTGTTTCCCCTTTTGTCCTCAAAGAAATATGGTCCTATGACTCCAAACCGTGCCACACCACACCAAACAGTAACTTTATTTGGATGAAGTGATGTTTCTTGAATCTCTTTAGGATTTTCAGCAGACCAGTATCTGAAGTTTTGTCTGTTAACCTTTCTGGAAAGATGGAAATGAGCTTCATCAGACATAATCAAAACATTTAAGAGGTCATTATCAGTAGCCAGCTGCAAGAGTCTCTGGCATGTCAAAACACGTGAATCAAAGTCTCTTTCATTCAATTTTTGTACCATAACAATTTTTTATGGGTGGAAGTTGAGATCTAAATGTAAAATTCTACGCAAAGAAGAGTTTGAAATCGCCAAGATCATATATTGTCTACGAGCAGAACGATTTGGACTTTGCACTACACTCCGTCGAACAGTTTCAATGTTTGCCGGTGTATGAACTGAACGAGGCAGGCCACTTGGCTTGATCTTCATTGCAGAAGCTGTGTTTCAAAAGTTAGAAACCCACTTTAAAATATTGTTTCAAGAAGGAATAGCTTCATGGCGACCTACATGAAAATGAACGCGAAACAATCGTTGAGTTAAAGTTACAGACTCGTTGTTTTTAAAAAAGTTTCAATAACAAAAGAACGATGCCGTGCCAACCACTGGTTATTCATGTTTGTTTGTTAACCAAACATAACCTAAAAATGGCATAACATAAACAATCGTCACTACAACAATGAGGTCTCTAGCTAGTATAACAGCTGACTTATTACAAAACAGAAACCGTCAGGTTTTTTTGGCGCACCCTTTACTTTTAAAATGTTCACCTCAGAACTTTTAAAGCCAAAGGGGCAAAGCCTACAGTGTTAATCACACAATGAAAAACTATTGCATCTATTAAAATACAAGTGCAATATATTACACAATTTTATTATAAATATTTTTAGGTTCCTTCTTTTCATTTTAAGATCAGTTTCGGTTTCAAGCACTGAATCAGGAACACTAGTCAAACTTCCATTGCAAACACAGTGTCACCTCAAGGGTCCCTGTAGTTGGTTAGATCATGCGTGATGTTGTAGGTACAAGTGGAGTAAGCAGATCATGACCGAGGTTGTGGTGCCGAGGTATGGAGAGCAGATGATGGCCCCTCACTACCACACACCACCGTACCTCACTGCACAGCCGGAGATTGTACACCACAGACTGACGCCGCGTGACCGCTTCCTTGTCATAGCTTCTGACGGACTGTGGGATCTCGTCTCTCCACTCCAGGTAGGCTAGTGTATTTTTATATTTACAAATCAACAACTTAGTAGGTGGAGCTAATTTTTCCAATTATTTGAATTATTTTTTTATATTCTTAAATTTGTCTTATTTAGGATAAATTGCCTTCTCATAGTATTTTTTATAAGCTGTGTTTGACTGATTTTAATTTTTCAAGATGGAAAATTTCCTCCCCAATAGTCCTTTGTATATCTTGTACAATCGCCAAAAATCTACATCTCTATAGGACCTACTCTGTATATACGAATCATTTGATTTTATCGTTATTATCATGAGTGAAATAGTGGTTTTTAAAGTAGCATATTCCAGTAAAACCATTTTACTTAATTTACAGCTTCAAATTAATGAAATAATTAGTTACTGTTTTAGATTGTAATGGAGCAAACAAGATACAGAATTACCATGAAAAATATTTTTGGAACTCCAACATTAAGTTTAGGCCTATTTACCTTTTGCTATTCAGAGTCCCAACATAACAGACAATCCCCTAGTACCTGAGCCAAAACGTTATACTCTCATAAAATAATGAGACGGATTGCCCAATAATATTAAGACTAAAGTAAATTTTATGTTAATATAAAAAAATATAAGTTTGCATAAAATTTATTAGAAAAGACATTTTGTTTCAATTTTAGTTTAGTAAAATCTGCTTATTTAAACAATTGAACAAAATTAGTTTTGTATCGCCCAACAGTTTTGACAGCAGGTGTCAAAAAGGTACAATGCCAGCATATTTATTTTGCTCATTAACAACTTTGCAATGTGTAGAACAGTCTTTGTGTTACAACCAAGCCCTCTACAGAGTATCGGCATGTTTCTAATCAATAACGTCAAGTCTAGAAGTAGTTTGTACAGTTGTAACTATTCCAATGTTTTGTGCATTTAAAACATTCAGTACCAACTGACATGACCTGAGATACAAAACGTATGACCATTGACTATTGGATAATAGTCAAAGGTATGACTCTTTCTAGAGATTGTGTTAAAAACAATAAAATAAGATAATTACAGATTGGCCTTTCTTTTCCAAACAGGTCACCTGTTAATTACATTTATTCAAGTTTAAGTGTAAAAAAACTATAGGATTGCAGTGATAGATTTTGTAGGTCATCAGGAATTTCCTTTGAGGTGTAATGTTTCCTTATTATTTAAATTTTACTTTTATTATTGCCACAACCCAATTATGGTCTGTGAAAAATAAATATTAGAGTTATAAAACAAATTAACAAGTTATTTGAATGGCTGCTCAGGTCGTACGGTTGGTGGGAGAACACATGAGTGGCAAGGTAACGCTCAGTCCGCTGCGACTGCCGAGGAAGGACATGACACTAGATGAGATCAACAGTTTACTGCTGCAGCGGCGTAAGGGACTCGCCAAGAAACCGGTGGACAGGAACGCGGCCACTCACTTGTTGAGGCATGCACTAGGTCAGTCTTCAACTTTTAGTTGTAGTTGCTTGTTTGCATTTTACACTTAAAGATCCTTTCACCCAGTTTATCTATGTTATCAACTCCTGAGCTATCTGGTTCTGGTTTAGAGAGTTCAAAAAAAATCTAGTGCAATGAAAATGGGGAGGGCCAAAAGCAGTTAATGATTTTATGGACTACATATAAATAAAGTATATAATTTATAATACTCTTTGGACAGAAAAAGTATTGAGTTCAGCTAGCTTGCCTGAACAAAACCCTTCCAGGGCTAAATTAAATGAAGGGCTGGAGCTTAATTATTTTTTGCCAAAAATTAAAAACTAAAGTGGTTGTGTTTTGTATTTATTTCACTTGAAATAATTCATGGATCATAAAAAGATTTTCCTTAGGGCTGAACAAATTTTTGTACAAAAGTTATGAAGAAAATAAAATTTGATTTGACGGATATATCCAAAAAACATAAGGTGGACGGATATATCCGTCTGCCGACCTCAGTGATAATCTCAAAATATGAACACTGCCAATAATCTTGAGTATTCTTATGGGCGGTAGACGGATATATCCGTCAACCTTAGGCTATTCCTTCCCTTGTTTTATTTTTTATCTATAAAAATGTATCTATCATTCTAAAGTAAATCTAAACCACTCAGTTTTGCTCCCATGTCCTCAATCCCATTCCCCGCCAAGACTTCCACTACGTAAAGACTGTTCTTCAGGTTGATCATATCCATCACATTCCATACTATTATTTTCCCTGCCAAGTATAAAACCCCTCTCAGACATACTTTTATTAAGCATCTCAATAACATCTTCAATTTTCAGATCGTTTGCATTAGTAAATTTAGCTCAATAACATAAAAATAAAGTACAAAACACAAAATGTAAACATCACTCACTTACAACCATGTGTGAAGTGACAGCAATATTTACTTACGCAGACTCTATGGTGCAAAATAGCAGAAACAACTGCGGCAAATTATTGCCAACCACAAAAACAAAATAACCCATTTATAATGCAGTGTAATGTTTATTACCGTATTATAAACATTGTTTATCAATTCGCTTTTTGGACTGATATATCCGTCTTTATCCCAAAAAAGAAATTTCTCGGGACAGATATATCCGTTTTCAGCCCGGAAAGTAAACAAAGATTGACAGATATATCCGTCCATAGCCCTGGAAGGGTTAAAGTCCAGGAGCTAGTTAATAGCACCTTCACCCAAAAATATCAAAATATTGCACCCATAAGCGATCTCTTAAGTTGAAGAGAAGTCATACTCTAGATTTCACTTTTTAGCAAATTTACCCTATAGGGAAGAACAAGAATCTATTGCTTTAGTTGGCATAATTAAGACCTACCTAGGATCCACTTACTTGTCGTTAATTACAGTACTCTCTTCAATTGTAAGGTTTATCCATTTACGATTAAACCTCATTGCTGTGTATGTTATCCTTGGTTTATTTTAATTTTAAGATTCAACTCACTTTCAATATATAAAAGTCCTCCATTTAGTATGCATCCTATCAAGTATGTATAGGAGGAGAAAGCAAAACAGTGGTTCACAGTACCCTAACCTTACCTTACCCACATTTAATCTGTCCGAATCCCAAAAGAACAGCTGAACAAACATATTCACTTGTCATTGTCAACCTGTATTGTTTCAGGAGGTACAGAGTACGGTATCGAACACTCCAAGATCTCCCAGCTGCTCAGTCTGCCACAGGAGGTCGTAAGACTGTTCAGAGATGACATCACCATCACCGTCATCTACTTCGACCCCGAGTACCTCCGTCACTGCCCTCTCTAGTGTGCTGCACAAGTGTTACCCTCATCGGCTGTAATAGTTTACCGACAGCTGAACCGGAATGAAGCTTTATGTTCCTCGTTACCATAGTATTATATGCGTACGAAGTCATAGTTTTAAATATTTATTGTTCGTTTTCTATTGACGCAAGTTTTCTCATTTGTATACCACAAGAAATAAACGATCTGTTAAGTTTTTAGTCAATTTGTGCTTCATTGCGTTTCTATTTGGTTCTAGTATGGTTAGGTGAATATATTAGACATTTTTAAATTTAGAAAAGGGCCCTCAAAATAAGTAATACTATTTCATTCCTAGTCTCCTAGTGACCTAATCCAGGTAGAGATGGTTTTCCAGAGAGATGCGATCAAACCCAAGAATAAGCCTTTTGGGTTTTACTACGTAATTCAATAATTTTACCATCTCTAAAAATGTGACTAATTTTAAAAGAAAAAAACATTTTTAATTTAGACTACAACATGATTCAATCAAATTTCTCATTTAGACAAAAAATAATAAACAAATACTACATTTTAACTTTTCAAGTACGATTTCCTAGTAACAGTATTATGTAGGGAAGAAGGAACAAGACTGAAGGAAGTATGTTCTGCTGTACCAACTGGAAAGCGTCCACTGGGTAGACCAAAAATGAGATGGTATGACCAAGTTAAGAGAGATGTGAGTCAGTGTGGAGGGACAGTGGAGATGGCAGCGGACAGAGAAGCGTGGAAGAGGCTGATCTACGAGGCGAAGAATCGACTGCGATTTGTAGCGCCCCAGCAGTAAGTAAGTAAGTATTATGTAGACTCAGACTGTATTATGAACTATTACTGGCAGCCATTAAGTTCAACCTCAAAAGATGGATCGTAAAATACTGTAGCACCTTTTTAGTGTTACTGTTATCAATAAAACACTTGGAATGGAGGGCAGCCACGCAAGAGTTTTTTTTTTTACGGTACTCACTGTAAATCGGGGAAATAACAATTTAATAAATTAAGACCAAATTAAAATTGTAACCAAATTTATTCAATGATGTAGCCTAATAAATCTCTTTTTACAATATGCACCAATTAGAAAACCACAGTTAATAAATATTCTTGTAATCCAGTCTTACAGGATCTGAAACAAAAATAAAATAATAGATTCTCTACAAAAAAAAGGTTTTTCCAACATTAGAAAAACAGTAAACGCTTTGTGATTTTCATTTCACCTCGCGACATACGTTAGTCAAGAACTCACCAATCGCAATAACTTGTTAAACTATGTTTTTGTTATTACTTAAAATTTTACTTTTATATTTTTTGCTAATTTCCACATTTAAAACTAACAATACTAACAAGAAAAAAAAGATGAAGGGAAAAACTACTGTTAAAATCCAATCTTGAATCCTAGGTATCTCAGTGCAACAAATCTCAATAACAAGATTCAAATCCAAGATTCGCCAACAATTATTTCTAAAACTTGGCTATACATTCAACATGAAAATGGAATGTCTAGTTCTATACCTTGGTGATGAGACCCGCTGCGATGGTGGCTCCTCCCACCCTCAACATAAATCGTCCGAGCTCCTTCACGTCTCTGTACAACTCCACACACACAGGACGAGATGTCTCTAGCACAACCAGCGCAGACGAGTTCTTAGTCAAGCACCGGGGTCGTCGCTTTATGACCTACAACAGTGTCATCAAATTATAATCCAACTACTAGGAGGTCACGAATTGTAGATATTTATAGGCATGCACTGTGGATGCGATACTCTCTGGTGTGGATTAACGTCCGCACGAGTGATTACTACGACTATCCGCAGTACTATCCTGATAATTAGACCAATTCGTATATACCAAGGCAAAAATATGGTTTGGAATCCACTATAAACTGTAGGTCTCACTATCAAGACTACAAGATCGCGCCACTCATCCTACACTCATCTCCATGCATACTTGGCTTAAAAACCCTACTTTGTATGGTCGCCATTTCATCAAAAAGTATTAAAGTATTTTTATTATTCAGCAGCAAAAAAAATTATTGAGAGACTTGTAGTTCTCTTTATTCTAGGTGGAAATCGTCTGGAGTCATGGACTTAAGCTGTAAAACAAAAACAGGTGCTGATTTTAGCAAAGAAAATAATTCTGACTATATGTTAAGGTAATAAATATATAAACAGATTTTGTTCATCACATGGGTAAAATTGTGTTTGCGTTTGCACATAAACCGCCTTCTGTAAGATATACAGTGAAATGAGAAATTATTACTTGATACACTGCTTGCAAAATATGGGGATATGTTAAAGGAGATACCTCCCTTTTTTAAGCTAGAGTTATGACAATGAATGATGTTTAGTGATGTCAAAGTAAAATTAAAACAACAGTTTGGATGGACGATGGAACTTTAAAATTACCTCTCCAGAGCTTTTGTGAAGCTGAGCCACCAGTTTTGTGATGACAGCTGGCTCTGATAGGCTTTGCTGGTGCAGCACCACCTGATTTAACAATACGGATACATATTAAGTGACATTCTAGGGTTAACTAATAGATTCACGAAAATGGTAATAGTAAAACTAATGTTTCATCACCCTACTAAATTATATCTTCATAGAGTAGACTGAAGATCCTTTATTTAAAAGCTAACAAAATATCCTTAATCCCATGTTTTTTTAATTCCTGCGCTGTTGAATATAGTGAAATTACTTACACAATTTCCGTCAGTCAAAGAAAACAATATCTTTAAAAAGACAGGTTTTGGTGTTTAAAACACCATTGGTCGTT